GGTGGTGGCAGCATCATGATGAAGCACGGTGGTGGCAGCATGATGATGAAGCACGGTGGTGGCAGCATCATGATGTGGGGATCTTCTCAGCAGCAACCTGGAAGGCTTGTGAAGGTAGAGGGTGAATGAATGCAGCAGAGTGTAGAGAAATCCTGGAGGACAACCTGATGCAGTCTGCAGGAGAACTGAGACGTGGAGAAGACTTGGTTTCCATCAAGACAATGAGCCGAAGCAAACAGCCAAAGCTCCACAGAAATGGTTTGAAGACAACAAGGTGAAGTTCTGGAGGCCCAGTCAGAGTCCAGACCTCAGTCTGAACAGTTTTTATAATAAGAATGAGGTAAAACTGCAGCGTCCAGATGTTCAGGCTGATGGAGACCAACAGCTGGAACTGCATCCAAAGCTGCATCTACTAAACACTGACTGGAACACTGACGTAACCACTTATGTAAGTGTTAAATCTCTAATTGACACAGACTTTGTAGGAATCTGGCTTTATTTTAACAAAATGAAAAAAGAATTTTCTTAGAAATTCTTCCAAGAAGCTGAGTTATGTTGATTAATCACTGCAGTTTTCACTCCCTGAGCTCCTGCCTTCTGTTAACGCCGCAATAAAAACCAACAACGGCGCAGTCGGAGTTAAGATGTGTTGAACAACGGAACGTGACCCGAGCTGACTCACCGAGCTCCAGCTTCACGATGGTCCAAACATCTGCAGCAGAACGCTTTAAAACCACAACCTACAGTAAACTGTCCAGATAAACTATTTAAAGCTCACATCGCTGTGCTCAGATCTGTACAGGACACACCTAATGCGATGCAGGTGATAACGATCCAATGCCAAGTGATACGTGATGTGTTTTGTAGGCTAGCTTTGGTATCTCCATCTGGGAAAACATCCTCCGGTTCAGTCAGTGACAGGGTGGACCATCTCTCCATGGTCCACTGGTGTCGCTTCTTGGTCTCTTCGTCCATCTTATCAACAATTTATGGCTCTTTCTGCTTGTTTTGTCTCAGTTTGCATCTCTTTCAGTCAGTTTGAATCACTTTGTCTTTGTCGCCGTTCCTCCTCCTTCAGAGGACTCATAGGAGTCTTGGTGGTCTCCCTCTCTAGTCTCCTTCTTGCTCGGTCACTCAGTCTCTGAGGACGTCCTGCTCTATTCAGATCTACTCATGGTCCATGTTCCTTCCATGTCTTAATGATGGATTTAACTGGATCCAGAGATGTTCAGAAACCTGTAAATGTTCTTGTATCGTCTCCTGACTGATGCTTCTGAACAACCTTCTTCCAGAGTTCTTGGAGTGTTCTTCGGTCTTCATGGTGTGGTTCTATCCAGGAGTTCTGATCCACCAGTGATGGACCTTCCACATACACCAGTCTTTACACAACGTTCACAGACCTCAGATGGTCTTTGTTTTAACTGTGGGACTTGTAGCACCGAGCGGCTGCACCTGAGTTCAACTAGTCGCCCTAAAGTGGTGAAAACTTGTGCAATCACTTATTTTATATTTGCTTTGTAGAAATCTGTTTTCACTTTGGCTTTTCCAAAAATAAAGCCAAATTAATGTTGTGAAGCAATAAAGGAGGAAAACCTTCCAAGTTGGGTGAAAATTGCTTTTTATGTTCTTTATGAGCCACGTTGTGTAACTCAGGATGTGATATTAGGTCAGAAAATTAAAAAACAAACAGAATTTTGTCCTGAAACGACCGCGTACGGATGATAAATCCTTCAGATTGTTCTTATTCTTCTGGTGTCAGAATGAAGCAGCACCAACATCGTTTAAGCTCCAAACAAAAGCACTTTAAGTTTCAGCCACTCATAATCTGGGTTTCATATTAAAGTCTGACAGCCACGGAGCCCGCTGAGCGTTCTCTGGCAGCTGTTTGATTCTCTCCTCGTCTGATATCACTCGACAGATATTAAAGAGGATAAATTAGGACCACGAGCTCCTCGTTAGCGGCGGCGGCGGCGATGACCTTTCCTCAGCCTCCCAGAAAACCTGCAGCTATTGTTCGCTGGCCTGCATCTGAGCGTCGGCTGCAGGCCGGCCGTGGATCAGACGTCTTATTGTCTCCCCGGATAAGAAGCACAACAGTTGGATTAACTGTCCTCCTTCCAACTTCGCTTCAGTTTTTGGTGTTTTTGTGTAAAACCGGAGAATTCGCGAACAGATGACGGGTTTAGATGGTCCAGATATGGTCGTCTCGTCGGGGTTTAGCTGTTTTTGTGAGACGCAGAAAAGTGCTGCTCAAGTGTAGAATAATAATGGTAACGAATAAATTAATGACCTTTCTTCACAGACGTGTGCTTTAAGAATTAGTTTCTGCAAATAAACTGATAAATGCTGATGGAAACGATGCAGAGCTGCTTTCATGTGCTCAGAAGAACATCAGTGCAAATAATAAAAATCAGCATAATTATGCAAGCAATGCAACTTATAAAGAATATTTATGTAAGTTAATTCTCTAAACTTAATGTTTTTTGAATGCATATTTTCTTCCTTTAGCATATATTTCTATGTTTAATATTTTTATTAAACCAACGTTGACTTGTTGCTGCATCGTTTGTGAATCTGTTGTTCGTAAAAAGCAAAATAAAAGAAAGATTTTAGGATCTCCAGGAGCATAAAACCTACATTAAATAATGCATATTTCCTTTTTGGGGGCTG